GGTATCTCATTGAGGTTTTGATTTGGATTTCCCTGATGCCGAGCGATGTTGAGCACTTTTTCATGTGTCTGTTGGCCATTTGGATGTCTTCTTTTGTAACCATTCTTCTTTTGATGGATATTCAGGTTGTATCTCAATTCCTGTCACTATAAATGATACTTATGTAAATATCCTGTAAATAGGTATTTACAGAGAACAGGATTTCCATCTGTCAGATAAATTACCAGAATGGAATTTCTGGGTCAAAATTATGCACATTAAACATACATACACACACAATACACACACACACACATATATGCACATATAATAGACAAACTCATTGTCTATCATATGTGGTGTAATTATTTTTATGAAGTTTATTTTTTTTAAGATTTTATTTATTTATTTGAGAGAGAGACAGAGATAGCAAAAGAGAGCACGAGTGGGAAGGAGAGGGAGAAGCAGGCTCCCTGCTGAGCAAGGAGCCCGATGCGGGGCTTGATCCCAGGACCCTGAGATCATGACCTGAGCCGAAGGCAGACGCTTCCCCGACTGAGCCTCCCACGTGCCCCTGAAGTTTATTGTTTTACTTCTACCTTGGTCTATGCCACTTTTGGGAGACAACTCTCCATGAGTCTTGACTTTCTGTCTGTCTCCTGAGGAGGAGCATTGACTGCCTGTGTCCTACTCTACCTTTATCAGGATGTTTGTACAGAGAACAGCATAACAGAGAGAGATAGTGCTTCACTCTGGAGAAAAAGGTGCATATGCTTATTAACCCTTATAAAAAATTCAGGGTCTCTAAGTTCAGGGTACCTCTCCTATACCCCACGGTACCTACAGGTGTCACCTGATACTCTGTGCTTCCCTAAGTGGGAATGGGGATTCTGGAAACAGGTACCAAAAATGCTCTGGCTCCTGCTTTTCCTGTGAGTAATAAAGTCCTTTGTCTCTGGACCAGGAAACGTACCTTCTCTCAGCATCCGTAAAATGGTGGCAGGCTAATGGGTTAGCTCGCACACTGGTCAAGTCTCAGATACTTCATGGTTTTGAATAGCTACACACAGGTTAAAACAATTGACAGCACAATATGTATATTATTTAAGCTTTCTGGGCTTTGTGTCTCATTTTGATGGTCTTTATACTCTCAGATTTTAATTTTCTTTCCTAGTTTTTACGTTTAAATAGTCCAGATTACATTTTTGTTATTGTGGAAGAGCTTTAGCTTTTTGCTTCCACAGGACAGGAATCTTTATTAAATAAATCATCCTTTACCCATTGAATGAAAAGTTTATCCTTACTGTACTGTAACTCCTCATACATACTTGTATCTCTTTGGGAATATTTTAGGTTCCACCAACCCAAGTATTTATATTCTTTTGAAAATAGAATAATGTTTTGATTGTAACAGCTCTGTGTATATTTTAACTTTTGTTAAGGCATGACTATTTTTATTTAAGATGTTTTAGTACTCTTAAATATTTGTCCTACTGTATGGATTATTTAAAATAACTTTCACCTATTTTTATAATAAATCTATTGAAATGCTTAGTGGAATTGTATTAATTTATGTAATATGTTTGGAATGACTGCTATTTTGTGATAGTAGATCTTTTTATCTAGACATTTACTATTCGTTTGGGTGTTATTAAGTACTTTTATAATATTTCATATTCTCCTTATATAATTAAGTATCTTCTTTTCTCAGTGTTTTTTGCTTTTTGTTTTTCTTTGGATCGGGGTACATACAGACATGTAAATAAATTATTCTCTCCCCAAAATAATCTTCACTAGCTAGATATTGCTGGTTTGCATGAAAGCTATTAATTTTTTTTGTTTTTTTTTAATTCAGCACTTTTACTAATTTCCCAATTCAGCCGAAGTGTTTTTTATTCTTTTAAAATTTTTTTATTATGTTAATCACCATACATTACATCATTAGTTTTTGATGTAGTGTTCCATGATTCATTGTTTGCGTATAACACCCAGTGCTCCATGCAGAATGTGCCCTCTTTAATACCCATCACCAGGCTAACCCATCCTCCCATCCCCCTCCCCTCTAGAACCCTCAGTTTGTTTTTCAGAGTCCATCGTCTCTCATGGTTCGTCTACCCCTCCGATTTCCCCCCCTTCATTCTTCCCCTCCTGCTATCTTCTTCTTCTTTTTTTTTTCTTAACATATATTGCATTATTGGTATCAGAGGTACAGATCTGTGATTCAACAGTCTTGCACAATTCACAGTGCTCACCATAGCACATACCCTCCCAATGTCTATCACCCAGCTGCCCCATCCCTCCCACTCCACCCCCCACTCCAGCAACCCTCATTTTGTTTCCTGAGATTAAGAATTCCTCATATCAGTGAGGTCATATGATACATGTCTTTCTCTGATTGACTTATTTCACTCAGCATAACACCCTCCAGTTCCATCCACATCATTGCAAATGGCAAGATCTCATTCCCAAAGTGTCCTTAATAAAGACTTTTGTGATTTGAGGTATAATTATGTTGTCAATAAATTTTTTATTCTTTTCAAATATTTACATAGATTTTCAAGGATTTAAAAATATTTTGCCTGATTACATTAGATATAATTATTAAGACAGTATTGCATAATAGTAGTGATAAGTATATATCTCTTTATTATTCATGATTTTATTGAAAATGGTTTTCTTTTTAAAATACGATGATCAGAGTAGCTGTTTATATAAATAATTTTTACCATGTTTAAGTAATTTCCTTCTATAAGTTTTTATGAGGAATGACTGATGAATTTTATCAGTTCCTAAATGTATATAATAAATATAATATTTATCAGCAGCATCTTACGATGTAATTATGTTACTATAATTCAAAAACTTTTGACATATTTTGTATTTGATTTACTAATGTTGAACTATGCTTGCATTCCTAAAGTAAATTTCACTTACAGATTATTATTCTGTTAATACATGGCTGGATTGGATAAGCTAACATTTTATTTAAATTTTCACATCAATATTCATAAGTGGAAATGCTCTTTAGCTTTCTTGGGAGGTACTATTTCTACAGAGTTTTGGTATTCAAGTTCTGTTGATCTCTTAAAATGAATTAAGAAGCTTCCTTTTTTGTTTTAATATTCCCTGGATTCTTTAAGCACCACAGGAATGATACTTTTAAAAAATGTTTAGTTAGAATTCAACCCTAAAATCATTTCTGTCTATTGCTTCAAAAAGTTTGGATTTCTAATTTCCTCTCTAGTATCTCCTATAGCTCCTATTTCTTTGGTGTTTGCAGCTGAAGGCTCCAACACCTGTGGCGTAAAATGAAGATCTCAGAAGATTTCCTTGAGAAAACTGGTAAGGTAAGTGGCTGGGAAGAGCAAAATCCCACTGGAAAACCAGTGGAGAGTCACTTCACTAACGCTGCAAAGCACCATCTTTCCCACTTGGACCTGAGTAACCACTAGAAGCGGCAGGACAAACAACCAAATGATCCATATGGTTGAACACAGATGTCCTCCTTTCTCAAGTACTTCAAGGGAGAGAGACAGGAGGAATCTCATAGCCCCATCCTGTTTGCTTTGCCCCCACATCGGCTTTGCCCTAGTGAGCCTCCATTTTAAAGCCAGGTCAGGAAACAAATTGGTCATAGATTTCTCTCAGTGCTTCCATAAGCACCTCCTTCCTAGTCTTTATTCTTCACACCAGGCAGCTTTCCCTCTCTTTGTTCTCCAAGTCTCTCCAATGGCTTTTTTCTTATCACTAAAACATGTCCCCGAGGCCAGTCATTTCCTACATCCCTAGGTCTGTAACTTTATCTTTGCTTCTCTAGCTGAACTACTGTCCCAATTCTCCTTTCAAAGCTCTACACCCACGCCAGGTATGGGCTTCTTTCCATTCTGCTCTTACTGTTGCTTTGAGTCAGCAGAATTCACCCTCCAAAGAGCACACTCTCCCAGTGGTGGTCCCTCCCTGAAATGATTTAATTGCTTCTGATGCAAGCTTTGAACCTCTCCTGATCATCAACAAAGTCAAAATTGAATCTGTTGTTTCAGAAAGTGAACCATATACAGCAAGCTGTACCACCAGGAGATGAGACGCAGATCTAATGAGAAAGACCATACCATCAAGCTCAAAAGACACAATTAAGTCACATCAGAGATGGCCAGAAAGACTGTTTGTACTCTGGTCTCCTTCATCTCGGCCCAACACAGAAGAAAACAGGGACACACTTCAGGAGAAAAGAGCCTTGTCGTTTTGATCTGTGTTGAAGGAAATAGCTCAGGCTGGAAAGACGGGGGTTAGCAGAACTACATTCCAAATTAATGGAAATGGCTGTACCCAATCCTCATAGTAGAACTGAGAAATTATTTTCTACAGACCAATAACCCAATTTTTTTTAATCTTTCAACCCTAAAAGCAAGAAAATTATGGGTCCTTTATGGGAACATTGCCTATTTCCCAGGACACAAAACAAAATGAAGGGCCGCACTGCAAATCTTCTTAAAAGAATAACTTCCATGAGGATAACAAAGTACCTTTCTGAGGAAATTTCTCCTATTTAACTGTACATCATCTTGACTCTGACTATTCTGCCCTTTGCCTCTGAATCATGCTTCCTGCACTTGGTGCATATGCTAGAGTTACCGTATACCAAATATTCATTGTGTTCCCCAACATGTCCCAGCCTCCTTCGTGGTGACACTGAGGCCATGGGACTCGGTTTGGTCAATGGGCTGTGAGCTCAAGGATCATTTCTGGACCAAGTCCCTTAAAGTTAGTGGGCTTCGTCCCATTCTTCTTCTCCTCCTCCCTATGCTACTACAAACTTCGAGGCCACAGGGTGAGAACACAGCAGGACAGGATTGAGAGCTGTGTCACCTGCTGGAGGAGAGCCTCTGCCAACCCATAGCAGGCCACGTGAGAGTGAAAAATAAACCCGTACAGGCTTAACCGCTGAGATCTGGGGCTCTATCTGTTGTAGCAGTTAGCATTAATTACCCGAAATCATAGAATGCATAATCACGGACGTTAAGGCAGAAAGGGACTTACAAGATTACCTGTTCCAGTGTGTTTCACACTTTTGATTGTTCTTATCCACATGAAATATAAAATAATTAGCGATAAAAATGAAACTGCTTTGTTAGCGGTGTTGATGGATCTCCTGGGGTCCTAGTCTTGT